GGCATGAATAATTCAAGGTGTGTCGGCTCGTCTCCTCAGCGTGTTTTTTGCACCTTCAGCAGCAGTAAATTTACCTGTACTGGATCGTCTCGGAGGTTGTAGAAGCTCGCAGTTTGGTCATCAGGATTCTGACGATGTTGAAGAGGAAAATGAAGTTAATCTGCGGGAAAATCCAACACAGAGCCTGGATTAAATCTGCTCCTCGTTTTACATCTTTATCCAAACACAAACACACAAATAAATCCTATTAAAACAGTCAAAATAAACTCTTGTCGCTTCACAAAACGATAAACATTTCACTAATTCAACAAATCTCTCTAAGCCTTTCAAATAAACATAATTAAAAAATATTTTAAAGGATTAAAAACCGCAAATTACAATATGTATTTGATTTAATGCTTGTCATCCTTCTTGTAAAAGGCCCAGCCAATAGGAGTGTGTGATAGGGGCTCTCGAGCCGGCCCRTGGCATAGGTAGCATAGGCAAACACTAAGGGCACCATCCATCTAGGGGGCACCACAAATGCAGGGGCAGAGCTAGACTTTTTGCACATACAAATAAAGAAAAGTACCCTGGATTTGGAAATTCAAGATGAAATGTCTCTAATTTTGCTGTTTAATAATATATTGAGCTGACATTTTATGCTAATGATCCAGAATTYGGTATAGTTGAAGCCAAGTTGAATCCCCACGACATTTTGAACGCTAACCTTATTTTTAAGCTAAGGGCTAATGCTAATTTAAAAAAAATCTGACAATTTTAAACATGTAAAGCTGAAAATTGATCTACCAGTAGCTGACAAGAATGTTCAACAAATTCTAAATGYAAATAAAAAATTCAAGATGGCCACCACAGCTAATTTCAAATGGCTATAATTCAGAACTACTGAGCTGAAACTTGGTGTTTTGGTAGCTGAGAGTGAGCCCCAATAGACTCCAATACAATCCAAGATGACCACCTAAGCTAAATTTAAATGGCTATTACTCAGCTGAAATTTGGTCTGGTGGGAGCTACAGTCAAATTAAAAATTAAAAAAATTAAAAATGGCAGCTACATGGCAATACTCAAAGTTTCTCAAGGAACTTTTCCAGCTGCTCCATCTCTTTGCTATGTTACAGACCCTCCTCGAGATGCCACACAATTTTCATTAACTGGTTCTTAAACACAAAATTATTACACACAATTGTCACAGTGGTTTAGAAAAGTTTTTTTTTTCTTCACACACTGATAGGTACCCTTCTGCACTAGATAATACATACTGACAGATACTTACTCTATTTTTGTTCAAAATTTACCATATTTTAATCTCACAAGTGTCAATCATTTGGGGGTGGCATCTGGGGTGGCCAATCAGGTACCAGGGGTGGCAAGTGCCACCCCTGGCTACCCCTCTGGCTCCGCCCCCGCACAAAAAGTATTTAGTAATTTTTCATCAGAATATAGTTGATTTATTCTGTAGAATGATCACTGGTTCCTCAGGTTTATTAAGGTAACTTGTTCTATAGGTTTCTCAGCTGCTTAGTTCCTACATGAAGTGTTATTGTTTATGCTGCAGAGGATGTTTCATGAAAAAATGATCATATGATGCAGTCAAGACTAACGACTGGTGCTCAGTGTGTAAACAGAAAACAAAACTGGGATAATAGAAGTCTCATTTCTGAGCTCAGACAAAGTTCAGGTTAAAGTCTGGTTCATAAAACCTTCATAAAAAACTGGTTTTATGTTGTTTTATTAATCCCAACGGTTTAGTAAAATGCTCTTTAAAAAACTGAAATATGCAGAGTTTTGAGAAAATGTTTTACTAAATTTTCTGGGGGAGTACATGCCTAGACCCCCCTAGAACTGCTTCAGTCCATAGCTGCTGGTTAACATGAACAGGTGTTCCTCATTGCTGTCAGCAGATGTTGTATGTATGAAGTAGACCTCTGGTATTTTTGTTTCAAATGAATCATATTGTTAACTATTTTAACTGGACAACCTGGTTTCTAAAGATAAAAAACAATTTAAAAAAGAAAACCTTTTTATTTGGTGAATGTATGTAAATTGGCAGTGAGATTTAGAAAACTGCACAAGGGGCACCACCTGAAATCTTGCCTATAGCACCAAATTGGGTCAGCTCTGGCAACTACCGCACCCAAATGTACACTATACGGCCAAAAGTATTTACTCAAACATCCAAATGACTGTGCACCAGCGCACAATGCAAGGTCCATAAAGACATGGAGGCAGAGTCTGGTGTGCATGAACTTGACTGGCCTACACAGAGTCCTGAACTCAACCTGATAGAACATCTTTGGGATGAATTAGAGCAGAGACTGAGAGCCAGGTCTTCTGTCCAAAATCAGTATGTGACCTCACAAATGTGCTTCTGGAAAATGGTCAAAAATCCTCATAAACACTCCTAAACCTTATGGACAGCCTTCAGAAGAGTTGAAGCTGTTCTAGCTGCAGAGGGTGAACCAATGTCATATTGAACCCTACGGATTAGGAATGGGATGTTAATTAAACTCATATATGAGTCGAGACAGGTGAGTGAATACTTTTGGCAATATAGCTCGATGTCTGCAGAACTGACAGAATTGTGTTTGGTGAAAAGCTTTGGAGACCATCTAAACATTTAAACTCCGAAAAGGTAATTAGAAAACATCTCCTAACCCACAGGATGGATTTCCATAAAAAAAAAAATAATCGGTGGACATACACCAGACCACCTCAAAACCAAGCTGACGGGTCAAGATGGCTGCCACAGCCAATCACAGCAAACCCACAAATGGCTGCGTCGTTTAAAGATTTGGTTTTAACAGACGTTAAAAAGAATCCAGCAGATTTAACAGCTGCAGTAAAAGTAAAGAATGTGAAGTTTCTTCCAGCTGTTTTCCTGACAGCAGAGACTGAAAACTGAACCAGAACCCGCTGAGCTCTTTTACGGGTCTGAAGATCCACCGACGGGTCAGAAAACTGTGGGATAATTCAGCTCGTAAAAAAAAAAAAAAGCTGTGGCTTCACCAAGTGACAGAAGAGGAGATAAAAATCGATCGCTCCAGGAGCTGAGGGGATGATGTAACACGGAGGCAAAAAATAGATGTAAGAATGTTTTCCACAGCCAGATGACCTGACCTCGACTCCAACAAATGTACAGCTGGCTTTCTAGGACCACACACACACAAACACACACACACACACACACACATACACCAGCCTGGGTGATTCCTGCTTATCCAAACAACTGTAATAACATCCTGATTTAATTTGTTGGAACAGGACCGTCCCTCTGACAACCCTCACAGGAGAAAACGCCAACATCCGGATGACCCGACGTTGATCCTGCAGGACCCGGCGCCCGGCAAAGGCACCGAACCCGGGGAYGAGGTGCTGCTTTATTTTCCAAACAAAGCAGCGGAGAGATATGGAATGAGGCAGATGTGTGCTGGAGGGGGAGACAGACAGTCCAGTGGAGCGCCTCTTAAAGAGATTTTCTTTTTTTCCGATAAGTAAAGAGAAAGTGGGAAGGTCACTTTAGAAGAGGAAGGCTGGCAGGGATGTTCTGACTGGAACGGAGCCGGAATGAGGCCAAACTGTCTCAGCGAGAGTGGCTCCTCTGGCAGAGGGAGCAGGTTCTGTGACAGCAGGTGGACCGGAGCCAGAAATAACTCAGATCATCAGGTGCTGCTGTTAGAAATACACCAAATTATACCTGATGTGAAAAACAATAACAGTGATCACTGATGCAATAATGATTACAGAAAGACATTTAAAATAATGGAGCCAATCAAAATGAGTCATATCAGACGTGTTTCAAAAACATTAAAAAACATCAAGTAAACCAAGATAAAACATAAAGGAAACCAAGAGAATACATCARGTAAACCAAGAGAAAACATCAAGTAAACCAAGATAAAACATCAAGTAAACCAAGATAAAACATCAAGTAAACCAAGATAAAACATAAAGGAAACCAAGAGAAAACATCAAGTAAACCGAGAGAAAACATCAAGTAAACCGAGAGAAAACATNAGAGAAAACATCAAGTAAACCAAGATAAAACATAAAGGAAACCAAGAGAAAACATAAAGGAAACCAAGAGAAAACATCAAGTAAACCAAGAGAAAACATCAAGTAAACCAAGAGAAAACATCAAGTAAACCAAGAGAAAACATCAAGTAAACCAAGAGAAAACAAAGTAAACCAAGATAAAACATCAAGTAAACCAAGATAAAACATCAAGTAAACCAAGAGAAAACATAAAGGAAATACCAAGTAAAATAGAAGAAAACCAGGAGGAAGCTCAAAGAAAACTAGGACGAAAACATAAAGGAAATACTAAGGAAACCAAGAGGAAACCAGAAGGAAACCAGGAGAAAAGAACTGAAGAAAACCAAGAGTAAACACCAGGGAAATGCCAAAGAAATTAAGAGGAAACTGAAAGGAAACCAGTAGGAAACCAGAAAAAAATGAAGAAACAATAAAGAACTCCACCAGTGATGGAGGTATTACTGGGTAATTGACTAAACAAAAGCATTCGGAGAAACTGAACACRGTTTAAGGAACTGGTGTTGTGATCACGACGGGATCAACCATGACAAAAGTCAGAAAACTACATATACACTACAAAATAAAACAGGAAGTGACGATCCTGAAACAGAACAAAAGTAAATACCAAGAAACCAAAATTGTTCAAGAGAACCTGGAGCTGTCTATCTGTATCGATTATTCCTTCAAACTCAGCACATCTCTGCTTGTTTTAAATGTATTTTCCATTGAGGACTAAACCACTTTTTTTAAATTAGAGTTTGTGAGTTTTAAAGTAAAATGATGCCCTCATCCTGTTTGTCCGGTTTGATTCCTCCACCTGTCACCTTTGTTCAGTCGTTTCGCTGACTGAATGAAGGTGAAGAAGCTCAGCGATTCGTTACCTCCGGCAGTTCTAATGGTCTCACTCCACCATTCTGCACCGTCGCTGCTGAAATCTGACATTTAAGAAAAGAGTATTTAATTGGACCAAAGCTGGCGTTCTGTCCCCGAGTGTAGGATGAGTCACCAACTCAGAATTATCATCAAAAATGTCAAGAAAACGACTTTTTGTGGTCATTTGTTGTCAAATAGTCGACACAAAACTGATCAAATACAAAGTTTTAAAGGTCAGTTAATTATATTTGGACCTAAAGTTGTGATTTTGTTTCAAGTTTATGAAATCTTTGTTTCTTTCATGGAAGAAGCTGTATGTTTTTACAAAAACTGAGCTAATAATTGGTGTGGTAGTAGCTGGGAGTCATTCTCAACACAAACTAAGTATTACTAAATCATGAGAGAATTGTGACACAATTTTCAGTTTTAGTCAAATCGAAACATATCTGAGACACCTGCAACCAAATCAAAACAAGTCTGAGACACCTGCAAATAAATTGAGACAGGTTTGAGACACCTAAAACCAAATTAAGACAAGTTTGAGACACCTACAACCAAACTGAGACAGGTTTAAGACATTTGCAACTAAAGGTTTGAGACACCTATAACCAAATTGAGACAGGTTTAAGACATTTACAATTAAACTGAGACAGGTTTAAGACATTTACAACCAAACTGAGACAGGCTTAAGGCATTTAAAACTAAACTGAGACAGGTTTAAGACATTTACAATTAAACTGAGACAGGTTTCAGACATTTAAAACTAAATTGAGACAGGTTTGAGACACCTGCAACCAAATCGAGACAAGTCTGAGACACCTGCAAATAAATTGAGACAAGTTTGAGACACCTAAAATCAAATCAAGACAAGTTTGAGACATTAACTAATTAAAGATAGTTTGAGACACAACTAAATTAAGACAAGTTTGAGACACCTATAATCAAACTGAGACAGGTTCAAGACATTTACAACCAAACTGAGACAGGTTTAAGATATTTAAAACTAAATTGAGACAGGTTTGAGACACCTGCAACCAAATCAAGACAAGTCTGAGACACCTGCAAATAAACTGAGACAGGTGTGAGACACCTAAAAGCAAATTAAGATAAATTTGAGACATCTGTAACTAAATAAAGATAGTTTGAGACACTTACAACTAAATTAAGACAAGTTTGAGACACCTACAACAAAACTGAGACAGTTTTAAGACATTTACAAGYAAAATGAGACAGGTTTGAGACACCTATTACCAAACTGAGACAGGTTCAAGACATATACAACTATACTGAGAAAAGTTTGAGACACCTAAAACCAAACTGAGACAGGTTTGATATATTAAAACATATTGAAAACTTTGTGACTCATTCAAAGGAACTGAAACTCTCAGGAATCTTTAGAGATATTTTGGAGACTCTGACCAAAAATGAACCTCATTTGTTTCCTTTGTGAGTCAAACAGTTTATAACCTTATCAAGTGGTCATAATGTTATGGCTGATTTCTGTACCTAACAAAGTCAGTTCAACATAAGAAACTGAAATTTTTAAGGCAGTAAATGTTTGTTTTTCTTTCAAAATGATTGATGTTTATGGTCTAACCTCAGTGGGTAAATCTTGTTCACTTTAAGTTTTTCTAACAAAAAGAAACTTCAATAAATCCTATTTCAGCACATTTGTCTGCATTTATGTATGAAAATATTAAACCTACATGTAGTTTAAAGGATTCAGCAGGGGAGTAAACGTGACATGTGGCAGAAATGAAGCAAGGAATGAGTTTTTACAAATCAGACGGAAGAAAATTGGTGTAAAAAATGACAAAAGATTGTTGGAGGAGCTGAAAGTCTGTAACATCTTTCACCGGCTCAAAGGTTGGAAGAGCTTCTTCTACCGGTCCAGTTTATTATTATTAATGTTCCTTTTAGTTATAATTTAAAGTTAAACTGGAAGTGGATCAGAAGAGGTTTCAGCTGAAGAAGCTGATTTACAACCGTTAATGCTCGAAGATGAAGTCATGAAAGAAAAGCTCAGATGTTCTAACAGCGTTTGGAAACGACCCATTTTCTCCAGGACCGAACATACGCATCATTCTTGTTTTCCATCCCAGAGTTTAAAACGAAGCACAGATGTTTTCGAGTGGCAGATATTAAAAAAATTAAGCCCAGGAAAAAACWAAGTTCCCATTTATCACCGTTAGGATGAAGAATGAGCCGCGGTCTCCGGCTCGTCACGGCCGCCAGACATAATGAAGACTAATTACATCAGCAGGTAACATCAGACAGAACCAGTCCTTACCACCAGGACCAGGATCATTGGACCCTGGTAGATGTAGTCGGTGTAGACKCCCGCCCGCTTCCCAAACCAGCACCTGAAATACAAACAGAAGCATTTTTACAACCCGATGTTTAGTTTGTAGCTTACGCACCTGTTCTGAATTCAAGCTGATCAAAAAATGACTTTTAAATTTGTTTAGTTTGGAGTTTTCAGCTAAAATTAGTCTAATGTTTATAGGAGTAAAAAGTCAAATAAAAAGTATTTTCAAGTTTTTAGAATAACTTTCTTAAAGTCCAAACCTCAAACTAATTACAAATTTCCTTACAAAATGTCTAATTAAATTAAACCAATGAGACAYGTGGTCAATAATTCAACCAGACACCTGCTAAACATCTGCCATTATTTGTGTTTTTAAGGTAATTATTTAAACAAACAGCTAAAAAAAAGCTTAAATTTTAATAAACCAAATAATCAGCTGAGGCATCAAAACCAACATAAACACATAAAGGAAACCAAATGCATGAGGAAAAACTGGGTAAAACAAACAAGAAGAGGAGATAAAGGAAACAGCTGAGCTGATGAGACGATGGAGAACAGGTGTGAGAGGAGCTGAGAGCCGCTGATGACTGAATCATTCGAAACAAGTGTTTGAGAAAAACAGTTAATCTTGTGGAACGTATTTTATTTAGTGATACCTTGGTTTACGAATGTCACAACGAACAAGTTTTTCTAAATACGAGCTGCCTCGGACCATTTTTTTGCTTTGATTTGAGAGCTAAAATTTGGGTTACAAGCTAGTGCGCTCTATTGTGTGTGTTTTTATACAATATTCGTTATTTATGATCACAAATTGCAAAGTTTACTTTTTCTTTGGGGCTGGGGGTTCATAACAGATTAATGGAATTTTAGTTAGAGATGCACGATATATCGGCATTAATATCGGTATCAGCCGATATTGGTCATTTTAAGAATATCGGTATTGGTCCGATATGTAAAACTGGGCCGATATTAACGTCCGATATTGATTTTCCAATTTTTAGTTTTAGTTTCTGTTTTGGGAGGAGAGATGGTCGGTTGAGCAGCATCTGTTTGATCATGATAGTGATATTGACGCTGTGCAGCCAGGAATAACTGAAGTAGAACCATGTCAGAGGTCTGGTCTTTTATGTACGGTATCAAAAAAAGACCCAAGTGTGTTTGTGTGTATATGTATAATATAATTTGTGTCTTTGTGTAATATCGATAAACATTGGTTATTGGCCGATAACAGCAATAATTATATCGGATATTGATATCGGCTGAAATTGTCATAACGGTGCATCCTTAATTTTAGTGCATTTCTGTGGGGAAACTAATTTGACGTACATATAATTTATTGCATCGCCTTGCTTACAATATCACTTTATATCCCGATATCGTGACCCCGTGTTTGTGATACGTATCATATCACCAAAATCTTGCCAATACAAAGCCCTAAATTCAAGGCACCACTGTATTTTTATTCCCTTCCACAACAGTTTCAAGGCGAAACTTTAAAAAACGCTGCAGTTTAGAGGTTTTTTTTAATATTTTACGTCAGGAGTTTCACAGAATTTCAACCTGTAGTTTTGTGACRTTTTAGAAGAGAAAACATGACGCTGCACTCAGAGCAGATCGTGGAACAGAGTTTCCTTCCCAGAACTCAGAAACCCAACCTGCTCACAGCAAACCAAATATTTAACCTGAAGTATCTGAAACTGGTCGTTCGGCTTTTATGATCATTAAAAGAAGAAGATCGACATGACAAGTTGTTTAAACGGGTTGAAGAGAACTTGACACAGAGAAACTCCCTGAATGTTTAATTTGTGGGCAAGAGACGCTCGGAGCTAAAAATGCAGCCATTAAAGCAGCTTTAAAGTTGTCTGCTTTTAGCTCAGCGCCTGTATTTGCATTCCCCCGTGAACCGGTTCTCTGCAGCTAATGGGCAAAGAAACCTAGTCTGTACATTGTGTCAACACTCCAGACTGTTTCAGCAGATCTGGACCTGATTGGTTTGCTTCTCTGGCAGCAGCACGAGTCATAATCAACTACAGTTTATGGTAATGAAAGAAAACGTCCCTCAGAGTTTCAGCTAAGAGAAACTCGACCTACAGGACTCTGCAGACTCCGGATTTATTCCCAGCACGCTGCAGAGCATTGTCGCTTCAGTTAAAGGTGCCAAAGGAGAGCAGCAGCTCCAATTAAAAGGCAAATTGAGTTCGAGCTGATAAATAAGCAGGAATGTTCTGCAATACTGATGAGATTACAGCAGATAATTAATACACATTCATCTTCTTAATGCGCTGCACTTTGCCTTTTTTCTTTTTCTGAGCAGAGTTGGAAAAGTTTAACATCAGACATCAAAAAGGAAAAGCTCACTTCTCGTTGTCGTAGTACAGCTTCCCGATGGCCCACGCCACGATTATCGGGAAGGGGATACCTGCGAGATAAAAACAAGACCAAACCTCAGATTCTCTTTGTCTTTCTGTGAACAAACCACCCAGAATCAAATCTTTAATAATGTAGTTTCAATGGTTTTTAAAAAGCCCACATATATACAAACACCCACTAATATTTAGTTAAATGTCTTCTKACAGCAGCTTCCACCTGGACCTCAGGAGTTTCTGTCTCCATCGACAAAGTCTGATATTTAAATGCTTTGTTTCTTAGCAGAACTGGTTGGATTTCTTTAAAAAGGTTGGACACTTCATCTTCCTCTGTGGAGACAGACTGAGATGTGGATGGATGGATGGATGGATGGATGGATGGATGGATGGACGGAAGGATGGATAAATGGATGGATAAATGGATGGATAGATGGATGGATGGAAGGACGGATAAATGGATGGATGGATGGATGGATGGATAAATGGATGGATAAATGGATGGATAGATAGATAAATGGATGGATGAATGGATGGATGGATGGATGGATGGATGGATGGATGGAAGGACGGATAAATGGATGGATGGATGGATGGATGGATAAATGGATGGATAAATGGATGGATAGATAGATAAATGGATGGATGAATGGATGGATGGATGGATGGATGGATGGATGGATGGA